GAAGCTGGATGGAAAGAACAGAGCAGCCTGGAGTTGAACTGAGGCTGTCCTATGGGATGCTGGTGTTTCAGGTGGCAGCCTAACCTGCAGCGCCATAGGGTCTGCCATACGAGGGAGGACAACTGGAATGAGGTATGCGTTAGGGGCAGGTGTTTGGTGCAGTGGTTAAGCTGCTGCTTGGGATGCCCATGTCCTGTATCAGTGGCCTGGGTTCAAGTCCTGGCTCCTCTGCCTTCTGATTCCAGTTTCCTGGTATACACCCTTGGAGGCAGCAGATAACAGCTCAGATGTTTGCATCCTTGCCACCCACTTGGGAGTCTCGGGTTGACTTCTGTTTTCTTTGGTAAGATTGATTTATTGGGGTCGGCGTTGTTGCACAAATAGTTAAGCCTCTGCTTCTTATGCTGGCATCCCATATGGGTGCTTGTTCGAGACCCAGCTGCTCCTCTCTCTCTTCTCCTCTTGCTGTAACTCTGCCTTTCAATTAAATAAATCATCTCTCCCCCCACAAAGATTTATTTATTTATTTGAAAGGCAGAGTTACAGGGAGGCAGAGGCAGAAAGAGCGAGCGAGAGAGCTCTTCCATCCGCTGGTTCACTCCCCAGATGGCCACAGCCGCTAGAACTGCACTGATCTGAAGCCGGGAGCCTGGAGCTTCTGGGGCTCCCACACGGGTGCCGGGGCCCAAGGACTTGCGCCATCTTCCACCTTTCCCAGGCCACAGCAGAGAGCTGGATCAGATGCGGAGCAGCCGGGACTTGAACTGGCATTCACATGGGATGCCAGCACTGCAGACAGTGGCTTTACCCGTTATGCCACAGCGCCAGGCCCCCTCCCCTTTTAAATTAGTTATTTGAAAAGAAAGAGAGAGAGATCCTCCATCTTGCTGGCTCATTCCCCAAATGGCTGTAACACCTGGGGCTGGGCCAGGTGGAAGCCAGGAACCAGAACCTTCTTTGAGACCTGGGTTTTTAAAAGACAAGTAGGTGTTAGAGAGACAGGAGGGAAAGAGGCTGGGGGTGTTCACCGCAGTGGCCTGGGGGCAGTCGTGGACAGCTGTGGCCCGCGTTTTATTGGCGAGCGCTCTCGAGAGTCACCTGTAGGAAAGCAAGGATGGTGCAGGGGGCAGAGGGGAACTGAAGTCTTCATTACCCTGCAGAGAAGTGTGTAGCTCAGGGCTGTCCTCGGAGTCCCACGTCAGCCACTGGCCCCTGGCTGGGTGGGCAGTTCCCCGGGCCTCGGGCAGCTGCCAGGAAGGGGCACAGTGTGAGAGTCAGCAGCTGGGTAGGGGTGTTGGCCTTCACCTCATGGGGTAAGGCGCACTGCCCTGAGTCACAGGGTCGGGAGGGCCTCTGTGAAAAGGTGGCTTTGAATGGGAACTCAGTGCAGGGTGGGAAGGTCCCAGGGGACAGCGTTCCCGTTTGGCAGATAGGGAAGCTGAGGCTGCTCTGGGCCGCAGACCAGTTGAGTCTGTGGGGACCTCACAGCCCCATACAGGGGAGGAACGTTGAGGTCCACTGGAGCTCCAGGACCCAAGCCTCCCCCCACCAACTCTAACCGCCTCTCCTCCCCTGAGCTGGCTAACCGCCTCTGGTGGCCGGGCCCTCACTACTTTGGATGCAGCCCCTTGGTTTGGCCACTCTGGCTTCTGTCAGTCCTTGTAGCTTCAACTCGAGGTCCCAGCTGCCCGTGAGGCCACCCCACTCATCTCTCCTCCCAATGGGGCCACTGCCCCGTAGAGCTGTGAGGCGGGCTTATGTGCCTCAAAGCCCAGTAGCTCTGTCCACCTCCCTCCCGGCTCGGCTTTGCTTCCCACCACAGGGTCCACCTCAGTCAGCTTCTGCAGGCCACAGTGAACGCAAAGTGGAGCCTGGGAGACTTAACTCTTCAGCTGGGCTGAGCAGCCCTCCCCCCCGCTCCTGACACTGTACCAGCCAGCCCAGGTGGGCCACATCTCCCCACTCAAAGCCACATCCAGGGGGTGGGCTTGCTGCGCATCGATGCCTTAGAGCCCAGCCTATCAGGAGCGACTGACCCCTCCCAGCTTCCTGTCACTGCCGTGCCCCCCACCCCAATGCATCCATCCACACGCATGACACACAGTGGGCCTCCTCATTGCCAGCTGGCCAATTAGGGAACCCCCAAGGGTCAAGATCGTCCTTGAGGGACAACCCAACAATTCAGCACACTTCCTAAGTACTCCCTGTGCCTGGTGCGCTCGGAGCTACGGATCCAGGAGGGAGTCCTCCCAGGCTGCTGGCCACACAGGACGGAGTGGTCAGCCTCCTTCGGCTCTGTGGTAGTCCCCCTTTCCCTAAACCCAAGCACCTAACCCCAGGTGACAGTAATGGGCCGGGGCGCTAGCACTGAGCGCCTTCCATGGGTGCCTATACTCGCCAGCATCCGTTACTCCGCGACCACTTCCTGCACACCTCCTGCCGCGGGCCCTGTGTGTGTGCTGGGGCTTTTGGGAACAGTGACAGCTCAGACACGGCCCCTGGTTAGAGGAGCTCCCAGCCTGATTAGGGGAGGCAGACACTGAACCCTGACAGCCTAGGGGCCCTGGGGCCCCAGAGAACCTCCAGCCTAGCTTCCTGAAAGGGCAGTTGGAGCGCATGCCAGGAGCAAAGGCTCCGTGTGGGCACGGAGCTAGAGTTGTAGCAGGAAGTGCTGAAGGGTGCGAAAAGAAGCCTTGGCAGGGCCAGCCTTAGGGAGGAGGGAGCACCTGCCCCAGGGCGCCTCAGCAGCAGACGGCATGCCCTGCTCAGTGCTCTTGCTCGGCCCCCAGGGCACCTTGCTCTCCCATCCTCCTTCCCCCTCCTGCTGCCCAGATCTCTCCCTGCTCACAGCTGCAGGGCCTGTCCTGGGGCGCCTCCCCAACTCACTCCCTGGATGACCTCAGGCAGCCTCATGGTGTCCAAGCATCCAAATGCCAAGTCTCCTCCACCCAGACTGCCCAGTGATACCAGCACTGGCTGTCACATTGGCCTCCCAAATTGAGCCCGACCTGCAGCCTGCCGACTGACTGGTTCACGCTGTGTCCCCAGTGCTAGAGTGATCTCTGGCATCTATGGGGAGCTCAAAACACACGTGGATGGATGATGGATGATGGATGATGGATGATGGGTAGATGGCTGGAAGGAAGGGCTTACGGAGGCGCAGGAGTGTGGGCTCTGTGGCCTTGGAAAGGCTGAGAGGAAGGCAGGAAACCAAGGCAGTGGCTAAATGTTTAGACCCACAGCTGCCTGGGAATGGAAGCAGCAGCCCCAGCCTCAGGCAGAGCGGACCGTCCACCTTTAAGCACCCAGTCCTCGGGCTGCTCCTTTGTTTCCAACTTGCGGCCCATCGGCTGCACCACCTGAGCCCAGTACTGGCAGAGACAGGCACCGCTGCCTCCACTTCTTCCTGTCTGCCTGGCTGCTACACCCAAACCCAGGGCCCTCGAGCTCTGCAGACCAGCTCTGGGACAAGGCCTGAGCCCTAAGAAGTCCACTCCATGTCTGGATTCTTTGCACACAATCCCTACCCGTCACGGGACAGCAGATGCTGGGGGACAAGGCGGGGTTTCCTCAGACTCCCCCAGCGAGCCCTGCTGGAGTCCCCGGGCCTTGGCAGCTGCAGAACCCCCCAGGCTGTGCTGCTGTCAGCCAGTTGGCTTCCCTGGCTCCAGGGAAAGGCTGTGTGTATGTATGTGTTGGGGGGGGAGGGTTGTGGGAGACAGCCAGTCCACAGCCTCCTAGAATTGGGCAACTTGGGAGAGCGGTAACTGTGGCTGCAGACTTCAGTCTGGCCCCTCCCCTCCTACCTAGGTTCCAGTGATGGCCTCAAACGTGGCCTCGTGTGGAAGGAGTGGTGCGACACTCCTCCTGCCCTCACCGCTGGCTGAATCTAGTGTCGAGCTGCCAGGCCCGGCGGGGCCGCATCATGGAAACACTGGTGAACAGGACACAGCCCTCTCCTCCAGGTCTGCCCCTGGGGAAGGCTGAGCCCGACCCAACGCTCACCAGGGCCATCTGTGCGGTGCAGGCAGCTGCTGGCCGCCGAAGGCCGCAGGCTGAGAGGCTGCAGGGAGTGCTGTATTGGTAGAGATGGGTGGTGGGGTGTACAGTGGTAGGGCTCTTAGGGCCTGGCCATTTCCTGTCCTGCACCAGGGCACCCCCTCCGGGGCTCCTGCCTGGGCTGTCTCCTGCTCCAGGAGCACAGGTGGCAGCCAAGGGCATACTGGCAGCAGTTAGCGGCAGGAAGCTGTGCTGGGGCATTCTCAGTGCAGGTCAGTCCTGGCCAGTCTCCCCACGTGTGTGGCAGGGATGTGTTCTTGCCCATGAGCACACAGCAAGTTGGCAAAGGACGGATCGGAGCCAGGCAGTCAGCCATGTGGTCCCAAGACCCCTGGACCGGATGCACTCTCTGCTGGGGGCGTGTGCGCTGCCCCACGCCCCACAGGCCCCAGAGCTCCAGGTAAGCAAAGCAGTTCCACTTTCTATGTTGCAAGTCGGCACCCAGGGCGGCCACCTCCCCCAGCCTCTGCATTTCCTGCCTGGCTGCTGGCCGGGAATGGCTGTCCCCACATCCTGCCCGGCCCCTCCCACCATCTTCCAGGACACCGCCTGCGGGAACCTTCTGAAGTCCAAGCCAGACTGTGCCACTCGCCGAGTCCTCACGGCCTGGGACGTTCACCAAAAACAAACCCAACCTCCCGGTGTCCCAGTACCCAAGGGGAAAGCCGGGACACCAGGGGCCTTATCACACTCTAAGGATCAGACACATCCGCCTCGGAGGCGGCTCTCAGAGGGCCCTCAAGGGCCTCCCTTCCCAGCCGCCTCCCTCCCCACCCCAGGCCTCTCAGCTCTCCAGAGAAGAGCCACACCCACCCAGGGACAGGGCAGCATCTCGAAGAAGCCAGAGCAGAACCCTGTGCCCAAGGAGCCACCTTGCCTTCTGTAATCTGTGTCATCAAATCCAACTCCAACCCGCGATCCCCAAACATGTCAGGAAGGGCTTGCGGAAAAAGATGTCCCTTTAATAAAACGTATCAACATATATCGTACACAAACTACAATGTATCATAATTACTTTTTTTTTTCCTCTCTTAATTCAGAACCAGACTACAAGGTAAGAAAAACACAGAAACAGCTACAATGTTCCCAATAATCCGCACAAGGTCTTTTTTCAGGCAGATGATATCGCACAGAATATGATATACATGGATCAGAAAGGGCGGGGCAAAACAAAGACCAGCTACGGGGCGGGCGGGCGGGCGGGCAGGAGGGAGTGTCAATGTACAAAGAATCGGGGTGTCTTTAGGGCAAGACACAGAGGTTCCAATGGTGGGCGAGGCGAGGTGGCTGCTGGCACCCCTCCCGGGAGGGCACGGGCCACAGCAGGCTCGGTGGCTCTGCAAAATAAAGACGGGACCGGAAACAGCACGTCCGCTTGGTTGTTGGTGTCCCCCCACCCCCCACAGCTTTTCCAAGTCTCCCCCTCCAGTTTAAGCATATACACAGCAATTCTGGTCAACAACCCATCTTTCAAAAGAAGGACGAAGAGAATAACGAAACAAAACAAACGAAAAAAAAATAAAAACAAGAAAATGCAAACTCCAGCCCACCCTGCCCGTGCCTGTGCCAAGGAGCCGAGGGTCCTGGGACCAGAAAGTGGAGGTCACAGTTTCCACATCCCAGGTCATAGCCGTCCTGGCGGCGGCGGCCTCTCCGACTGCGCCGGCTGCCACCACCCTGCTGGCAGGAGTCTCGCTGGGAAGACGGTGGCGTGAGGGCTGATGAGGGGCAGGAGAGGTCCGGGAGAGGGGCCGGCAGCAGTCCTTGGGTCGCAGTACACGCCGGCGGGGCTCGATCCTGGGAGAGGGCGGGCGGCCAGGCCCCACGATGAGACGGGTTCTGGGTTTGAGGATGCGGCCACTGCCCGCTTGGCCAGAACACCCCTCCGTAAGCATCGCCCAAACCGAAAACCCCAAGTGGAAAAAGGTGACTTCCTTTTTTTCTCTTTCCAAAAAAGGCTTTTTGAAAGAAACCACCAATTGTAAACTGTCCAGTTTATTATTATTATTTTTGGATGGCTACAAAGACAGTGTAGTAGGCTTCACACCTACACTAGCTTTCCTGGTGGAAGGAAGGGCTTGGGTACAGAGGCAGGGCTGGTGGGTTTGGTTGTTTTTTTTTTTTTTCCTTTTTTTTTTTTTTAAAGAAAAAAAGAGGTTGACTGGGGTGGGGTGGGGTGAGGGGCTTGCTAGAAGCTTCCATTTAAAAAAATCCCCCCAAAAAATCCCCCTGAAAATTAAAAAAAAAATCCCAATAACGGTAAAACCCCAAACAAAAACAAAAACAAAAACAAAAATAAAAGTGTCATGTACAGAAAAGCTCCCATCGGAAAGGGCGAGGGGCAGGGTTTTTCTGGTGTTGACTTGAAATATATTTTTATTTTGAGTTCTGTCCTTCACGTTTTATGGAATAAAAAGTTCGGCCTTTTTATTGCATGAAACTAAAACAGGGACAGGCGGGGGGCGGGGCGGGGGTGGGGAGCGGCCTCCCCGGCTCCTGGGCACCAACACCTCACTTCTTCTTGCATAATTCCTGGCGTCTTCCCGCCTGCAATGCCGGCTCTCAGCGTCGCGGACAAGGGGCTCACACGCTCATCGTCATGCTTGGAGAGTACTGGAAGGGGAGGAGCAGAAAGGGGTGGCGGTGAGCGCTTGGGGGGGCCCGACAGCCCTGTGCAGGTCAGGGGCCAGGAGCCCCCGTGAGGAGCGGGGCCTGCGGGCAGCTGGGGTTCCCGCAGAAGCTGCCTGACCCAAAAGCTGCTTCTTGGAGGCAAAGGCAGACGGCCAGGCCTCGGTGACGGGACCCCTGGGCCACACGGGGCCGCAGACCGCCCTTCCCGGGACGACCGGAAGTGGGCCCCCCTCGGGCTTCCGGTGTGCGGTCAGTGCCCGCCCGCGGCTGCCCCTACAAGGGCCGGGAGGCGGCAGGGTCAGGGCCGGGGCTTACATTGTCGTTCTGGAAGGAGTGAAGAAAGTTCCCGCCCAGCTCGCCGTCGTCCCGAGGGGTGCCCGGAGGATTGCTAATGCCACTTATGTTGTTAGGAGAATTCTGTGGAGAGAGCACAGGGTGAGCCCGCGGGTCCCGCTCCACCCACGCGGCCGGGGTGCAGGCGGGGACGCGGGGGCACTCACTTTTGGAAGTCCATCTATGTCGCCTGACCCTGGAAGGAGAAGAGAGCATTCAGTCCCCTGCGCCCTGGGCTCCTGGGGCACCGCGCCCGCCTCCCTCGGCCACCCCGGGCAGTGCCCTCCGCGCGCACCGCGCCAGGCCGCTCACCTAATGATCCGTTCATGTGGTGGGGCTCCATGCCGCCCATGCCGCCCATTGGGCCGTCCGAGCCGGGACCCATCGGGAACTGAGGGAGAAGCAGGGGCGCGGCTCAGCGGGCACGGCCAGCGGAGCACCTCGGGGGCCTGCCCGTGAGGACCCGCGGGATGGGGATGGGGGCTCCGGACAGGGGCCGCTTGGCCCCACACAGCCTCCTGAGACCCCGGCAGGGCTCTGTTCCCTCCGGCGGCGGCCGAGCCAGACCAGCCTGGGCCTTGCACAGGCCGTTTTTCAGCTGAGGCGGGGAATGCTCTGCCTGAGGTCCCCTGGGTAGGCGGTGGAGGAGCTGGGGTTGGAGCCCAGATGCCCAGCCTCCCACTCGCAGGTGGGCCTCCTCCATGCTCTGGGGTTTGCTGAGGGGCGGGGTGGCGGTGCTAGGGTACTACACCTTAGGCCTTGGGACAGACACGTCAGAGGCTCAGAGGCCGAATCCTTTCCACCTCCATCCTCAGGGCCAGAGGGCCCCTTCCACAGCCATGGCCATTCTGGAGAGCCAAGGCCCCACATACACCCTGGAAGGGGGTGGAGGGGACAGAACTGGGGCTGGCTGGCTCGTGGGCTGGGTGTGGGGACACAGAGCTGAGTCACATCTGGGCCCCAGCCTGGAGAAGGCGCTCACAGATACACAGGCTGTGTAGGGCTGTGGAGAAAGCACGGGTGCAGGGGCTGGCCCCGTGGCACGGCGGGGTAAGCCGCGGCTCGCAGTGGCGGCGTCCTGCACCAGAGTGCTGGTTCCGGTCCAGCTTCCGGCTGATGTGCCTGGAAAGGCAGTCAGAGACGGCGCAAGTGCTTCAGCCCCTGCACCCATGCTGGACACCAGGAGGGCATCCTTGGTTCCTGGCTTTGGCCTGGCCCAGCCCTGGCTGTTGTCGCCATTTGTGGGAGTGAACCAGTGGCTGGAAGATCTTTCATTCTGCCTTTCAAATAAATAAATAAATAAACCTTAAGAGAGAAAAAAAAGGTGGCTGCGGCTTCCCGGGGAGACAGAGCAATCAGAACAGTCCAGCACCACAGAGGAGAGGGGTGTGGGCAAGCAGAGCTGGTCACGGAAGTCGTTCTGGATAGCGGTCCTGCGTGAGCACAGTAAGGCCCAGCCAGACAGCAGGGGGGAGGGGGCGGGGCTGACAGCTGTCCAGTGACCACGTGGCGGGGGAGGAGCACCATCCCTGTGTCCCCCATGGCCCATAAAGGCAGCTCAGGCTTTGGGGCGAATTTGCCAGGTGGTAGCAAATTTCATGCTGATTCCCCCATGTGATGTGAGGAAGGCAGTGAACTTCTTAGGGCACCAACCCAGGATGCTGCTACACCAGAGCCAAGAAACCCCCAAAACCTGACAGTACAATCACACACGCGTGTGTGCTATTATACAAACATCAGTGTCAGTACTTAAATGTTATCTGGAAGTAGGTATCTGATGTACATTATTGTGCACTTTAAATATCTTAAAACGGCTTTATTAAGAGATAATCCATGCAAGGTCCACCTGACCAATTAAAGTACATGACGTAACAGTTCTTAGTGCACGCCCTGGGTCACAACTGTCGCCACTAACAGCCCGACAACACTCCCGGCAGCCGTCCGCCCGCATCTACTTGCTGTCTCCAGCCACTCCGCGTGGATGAATCCCCTGGCCGTCCGTGGCCTGCTCTCCTCCCTGAGATGTTTTCAAGGTTCATCCGTGAGGTTGTGTGAACAGTGCTGTCCTCATTCTCGCTGACAGCAGCCCAGCTGGCTTCGTGGGCAGACCCCGTCTCACTTACCCGTGCATTAGCTGACGGGACACTCAGGCTGTTTCTCTGATTCGCCCGTTGTCACTGACACTACTTCGACGTGCGTGTCCCAGTTACTGCGCTGGGTGCAGGTCCTCACTTGTCCCCGGCAGACATCATACAGCAGTCTTGCTGGGCAGGCGGCTACTCTACATTTAACATCTCCGGCAGCTCTGTTGCTTCCAAGGCAGCTGCACTGTTCCACCCTCCCACAGGCCGTGTAGCAGGGCTCCAGCGTCTCACGTCCTCACAATGGAAGCCATCCTAGTGGGTGCACGGGGTATTTATCGCCTCATCTTTTCATGCGCTCGTCGGTTATTTGCACATTGAGCGATTAGAAAGGCAGCGTTACAAAGGGAAGGAGAGAAGAGGTATCTTCCATCTGCTGGTTCACTCCCTAAATGGCCACAATGGCCGGGGTTTGGCCAGGCAGAAGCCAGGAGCTCAAAACTCCAACTGCCTCCTCCCATGTAGGTGCAGGAGTCCATCTGCTGCTGCTTTCCCAGGCCCATTAGCAGAGAGCTGGATCGGAAGTGGAGCAGCTGGGACACGAACTGGCACCCATATGGGATGCCAGCATCACAGCTGGCAGTGTAACCTACTGAACCACAGCATGGCTGCCCTTGCCCCATCCTTAAATTAGGTTCTTCTTATTACTGAGTTGTGCGAGTTCTTTACATATTTTGGATCCAAGCCCCTGGTCACATACATGCTTTGCAAATACTTCCTCCTTTCTGTGGCTTGTCTGTTCTCTCTTGATGGTGTCTTTTGAACACACGACTTATTTACATTTTGATGAAGTCTAATTTATCTAGTCTTTCCTCGTTGCTTGTGCTTTTGGTGTTGTATCTACGTTGGTTCTGCTTAAGCCAACCTTTCCCATTTCTTCTTCTGGTTTTGTGGTGCTGGTCCTGACATTTTGGCCTGTGGTCCAAATGGGGAAGTGGCAAAGTAAAGGAAAACGCTCCTTAGGAAAAGGCTGGAATCACAGGGAGGCCCATCAGGCCTCCTGTGTCGGGCACAAGGTGCGCGGGACATTCAGCAGGCAAAGCTAAGAAGCCTACAGACTAAATGAAATCGGCTCAGATGAACTGTGTCCTGCCTGCCAGAATCGTGAAGGGTGAGCCAAGTCCCCGTGCATCTGGACAGGAGAACAAGCATCTACGTTTTCCGCAGTTTCATTAAAAGCTGCACGCGAGTCAGGATGACGGCATGAGGCTCCGCTCCGGCGTTCGAGCCCCCGCGCCCTCAAGCCGCTGGCAGTCTGTTGCTGCAATCCGAGGCGTCGCCCAACACACTGAGAAAGCGCGGCTGGCGGAAGCTCAGGCAGAGCCCGCCCCACGCGAGCAGCCCCAGCGTGGGTCACTGCCACACCGCTCTCCTCTGTTCACACCCAAGCCTTTCCAGTCTCCGCCTCTGATCAGGAAATGGAACCTCCTAGCTTCCGGCACAGTCCAGGGAAGGAGCAGCTGACAGTGTCGGTGCCAGGGCGCCCGAGCTCATTTGGCAACTGCTGGTTTCCAGTGAGCCCAGGCTCTCCTGGGACGAGTCTCGATTTAGGAGGATGTGCCTCGGTCACCCCTCACTCGGGGGCCTTTGTCTCCGGTGGGAGTCCCTGGCCCCTCTCTGCGAGCCTCAGGTGCACGGCACGGCCTGCTACCTGGATCCGGCTGTGTGCGCCCTTGAAACCACTCAGCTGCTCGGTCCTCTCCTCCTCTCCTCGGTGCTGTCTGCGTCACACTTTCATCCTCTCAGTCTGATCTCAGAGAACACAGCCATCACATCCACCTCGTCACAAACGAGGCCAGCACCGTCCCGGCCCGAAGCGAAGCGGGAGACCAGCCATAGAGGGAAAGTCAGAGCCGGCCACTGTCCGTGACCATGTGAGGCGGGCGAGCCTCCGTGGATGACCCTGAGCCTCCACTGCCAGTGAGGGAGGCAGGTGATCAGGGCCACTTGCATGCAGCCCCAGCCTGGAGCTCTGTGTGGGTTTTTTCTGTTTTCCCACCAGCCTTCTGCAGCCATCGTCAAAGACCAGGACGTGTGTCCTGGCACTGCGCAGCACCCGGGACTGTTAGTGCTAAAATCGGGCGGTTGGCCGCCCTAGTGAGGGACAGCGGTGAGGCTGGGGACTGGGACGGAACATGGCAGGTGCAGTACCCACTCTGCACACTTGCTGGTCCCGTGACCCAGCTAAGAAGGCAGATGCAGCCCACACGTGAGGGTTAACACATAGGGTGGCTCGGGTGTCATCTCGCGAGCAAAACCAAACCGAGTGCCCCAAGCCCATCCCCTGGCTCCGCAGCCCACTGCCCTGCTCTCCAGCTCCCCTCTGCCTGCGTGGGGCTCCAAGGGCTGTGTCACCTCCACAAGGTGACTCCAACCAGTCCTGTCTGCGGGAAGACACCCGTAGGACCCAGGCGGCACAGGAGGGAGTGGTGGCTACCCAGAGCCAGAGCAGGTGGAGGGGGAGCTGCCACATCCATCGAGAGCTGCCCTCACAGAGGCAAGGGAGGGGACAGCCCTGCCAGCTGCCACCAGGGCCAGGGGTCACAGAGCTCACGGCAGGGGCACGAGGCAGGCAGGTGCCCTGCTCCTACTGTCTCCACCCATGGCTCCTACAGGCTTGAAAGTGAGGGACTGCCAGGGTGGTGCTTCGGTCAGAGGAGAAGGGCCTGGGGCCCAGAGGCCACTGTGGCCCAGGGCTTCCCCGGCAGCCCTCGCAGAGGGACTGTACTGGGCCCCGCCTCGTCCTCCCCCACCCCGAGCTGGGCTGCCCGGAGGTAATCACTTTTCTGACGGTTTGTTTTATTCGCCTTTGGTAACAAATGGCTGAAATCAATTAAACTTGCTTTCCCCTCAGCTGATGAAGTTAATTATGATTTGTTATGGTATCTGATATGTAAATTATTAGAAGGCGCACTTACGTTGGCGCGGCTGCCTCCAGGCGGCACCGGATTAATCATTGTGTAGATGTTGTCACTGGAATTCGTGGAATCTGTAGGACAGTGCAAACCCGCAAGTGGAGGTGATTAATTCGTTTCTTAATTAAAACAAACTCGTGGCACTTGAACTCATTCTTTTGTATTTTATCACTTAAAATTTCCTCTAAGTACCACCATTTTCTGGCTAATTTGTATTTAATGAAGATTCACAAAGTTTTTAATCACAGAAAATTCAACTGTGAAAACCACCCAACCCCGAAACCAGGAATCCCAGGGCGTCTGGATGGCCGTGCTGATGTGGCACGGGGCGCTCCCCACCCCAAGCCAATGCTGGTGCCCGGACACCGCCCGACACATGGTGGGGGCAGTGAGCCGGCAGCCCCAGGGACTGTGACCCGGTCAGGGTCAGGGTCAGGGTCAGGGTCAGGGTCAGGGCAATGCCGCCCATCACCGAGCACCGCCCTGCCTGGCTGCAGGACACGTTCCCACGTGGAGCGGGTTAGTGCGACCCAGTCTGAGTGTCGGTCAGGAAGCTTATCAACACGCAGCAGCAGGAGAAACAGCCGGAGCAGCTGCACGGGACAGGGGCCGAGAGGGACCCCTCCACTCCCCAGTTAGCCGGCGGAGCCTCCTTAGGACACTGCTAAGAGTTTACATCAGGAGCAGGTGCTGTGCTTTCTCAGAACTCTGACTACCTCTCACTGTTCATTTTTGGGGTGGGTAAGGGTTGTATGCTGAATTCCTTCTAGCTGGCTGCCTTACTATTCTTAGCTGGGAAAGATGTGATGCTGTGAGTTTGTGCACCTGTGCATGTGTGTGTGTGCGCACATGCCCACATGTGTGTAAATGTGCCCTCTTACAGAAAAAACAACAAGGGACCTCCTACACAGAGGACCAGGAGCCCTGAGCGACAGAAACTCCAGTGGTTATTGTGCCGGACAACATTGGTCCCAGAACAAAGAATCCCAGAGGCCCTCTGCAGCCATCCGGGGAAATGGCTACCCAGGCCCCGGGCTGGCCCTAGCGAAAGGGAGCCAAGGGCAAGGGGAGCCCTTGTCCCCAGGCTGCTCTGCCCGGCCCTTTCCTATACGAAGCAACCCTCGAGAACCAGAGAAAGTGATCTGGCTGAGGCCACATGGGCTGGTGGCACTGGGGGCGTCCTGCTCCCAAGTCACTGGACACCCAATGGCCTGGTGGAGGCTGTGCTGCCCAGGAAGGAGTGGCCATCAAGCCCTGGCTTGGTCCCCAAGCCCCCAGGGACCCTGACAAATGTCACCACCCACCAACCCTCCAACCCTCTTACCTGCAGGGCTAGGCATGATGGGCGTTCCTGGGGGGCCACCACCACCAGGGGGTCCCTGGAGACGAGACAGACACTGGCATCAGACCCCTGGCGCTAAGACGTGGGGGGAGCCCATGGCCAGGGCTCCTGGGGCCTGCCTGGCAGTCGGCCCTCACCAGACCCCTCCAGTGCTCGCCCAGCCACCAAGTTTCAGCTCTGGGGGAACTGCCCCGGGTCCCCCTTCCTTTCTTCAAACCAAGAGGCACCGTGGCATGCGTGTGCACATGTGTGCTCACACACGGCCCAGCAGGTGAAACCCAGGGGATGGCGGCCTCCCAGGGCTGGTTTGGAGATTTCTGGGCCACCTAAATCTTGGGCTCATCTGAATGTGTTTTATTTATTTTTTTTAACAGGCAGAGTTAGACAATGAGAGAGACAGAGAGAAAGGTCTTCCCTCCGTCGGTTCACCCCCCAAATGGCCACCACGGCTGGCGTGTTGCACCGATCCGAAGCCAGGAGCCAGGTGCCCCCTCCTGGTCTCCCATGCGGGTGCAGGGCCCAAGCACTTGGGCCATCCTCCACTGCACTCCCAGGCCACAGCAGAGAGCTGGACTGGAAGAGGAGCAACTGGGACAGAACCGGCGCCTCAACCGGGACTAGAACCCGGGGTGCTGGCGCCACAGGCGGAGGACTAGCCTAGTGAGCCGTGGTGCCGGCCTGAATGTGTTTTAAAAGCAGAGGCAGGGCCTCGATGGTTCTCCTGTACTTGCAGTCACATGTGGCCAGACGCGGGGCCCCAGAGCCCGACACTTACCACGTAGGTACCGGGCGACGAGGAGGAGTATGGAATCTGGAAACAAGATGCGGAAGAACCCCGGTCAGAACCACCTCCTCCGCCAGGCAGTGCCCCCACTCTTCCTAGGAGTGAGCCAGTTGCCGGCTTTGCTTCCCTAGGGCCAGGGTCGGGAGCCCAGCCCAGTCCTCTGCTACACTGACCCCAGGGCCTCGCCTGCCGTTCCCCACAGCCTGTGCGGGAGCCCAGAGGCAGGGGGTGTAGGGGGCTCTCCAGTTTGGGGGAGCACAAGGGGGTGCTTCCCCCACGCCCACGGCCTTCTCCCCTGGACCGTCCGCACAGCAGGCCTTCCCCGCTTCCTCTGAATGTCGGCGGGGAGCACACCCATGGGAGCTCTCCTCTGAACAGTGCTCCCTGAGCCCGGGCTCCCAGCTGCTGGCCGAGAGCCTCTGCAGGGTGCTGGGTGGGCAGCGGCCGAGCCTTGCTGTCCCAACACACTCCTCCCAGGCGTGCACCTACACATGGCCTTCTCCCTGCTGCACCCCACCCCTCACCCCCGGCTGGGTACTCACTGAGTTAGCACTGTTGGGATTGGGCCAGGGTCTGCCAGCTCCCGGGCCCCTGGAGAGAGAGAGACACAGAGTATGAACGAATGAAAAAGACGCTCTGTCCTCCACAGGCAGCAGACCACTACCAGGAGCCTAGAGGGCAGCGGCCTGTGGGTGGCCACGGGTCGTTCCACGGATAGAGATCTACGGACTCCTCTAAACCGGGTGTACGATTGGCCGACACTCAGCACTTACGGGTCTCAGATGCTCAGACCCAACCTGCGCGCGCACTTTCCCGGAGAGTCCAGATCCCCACAAAAGACTAGAAATCACTAAAGCAAGCAGCCCAGAGGCTGACGGCCCAGGGCTTCACGTCTTCACTGCGCCCTTCACAGCGGTGTGAGCCTGGGCAAGTGGCTGCGCCTCTCTGTGCTCCACGGCCTCCTTGCACAAGGAAGTGCCTCACCGGCTCACTGTGAAGATGGGACGGGCTGAGCCAGGCAGCAGGCCCAGGCCGGGGTGGGCTTGGCCAGGCCGCACGGCACCTCTCATCACAAGGACACAAGCCCTGTTCCACTAAGGAGGCCCAGAGAGCATCCGCCATGGCACCCCGGCAGGGCGCGGGGACAGCAGGGGCTCTGAGGGTAAGGGTTTGCCTTACATGTTAATCCCGGGCATGGCGGGGCCGAGGGAGTTGGGTGGTGGTCTCATGCCGCTGCCGTAATTCTGCAACGATAACCAAGGGTCAGTCTGTGAGCAGGAGGAGGGAGCCGGAGGAGGGGAGGAAAACGAGACAGACAACAGAAGCCACAGGGTTAGTCTGTGACGAGGAGCCGCTGAGAAAACAGCACACATTCTTTCTGAGCCCGCGGTGCAGGGTGGAGGGCAGAGGGCAGAGGGCGGAGGGAGGAGAGCGCACGCACAAGCCAGCACAGGGCATGGGCAGCATGTGCACCATGCTGCCAGGGGCTTTGAGACCCTGATCTCCGAGACACACAGCTGCCAAGCTGGCCGCCCCCATTCTGGGCCCGCAGCAGGCCAGGGAGGCGTGCGGCCCGGGGCCACCTGCACGTGCAACAAGAAGTGCATTCCTGCAAGGCCTGGTGGGGCAGGTGCAGACAGCACCCTCCCCCTACCCGGAGCCTCCGGCCCAGGGCATCCCGCCCCACCCCGGCCTGTGCATCCCAGAGCTGGGGGAGCAGGAGGAAACTCCCATTTCTGCGTGTGGGGTCACCGTTCTGTCTGACAGATTAGTCTACACAGGGCTCAGAAACTCCAGAGTGGGATCTGGCACAGCACACCCCACGGAGGCAGACTTGGGGCCAGAGGCGCCCCTAACCTCTCTCCCATCACACAGGGCCTCCCTCCTGCCCTGGCGGGCTCCTGCTTGCCCTCGGCTGCTCGGCTGCTCAGGGAGGCCTTGCACGCCCGCCCCTGGGGCTCAGCCTTCACCCCCACACTTCCCATGAGGCCGTCCCATCTGGCTTGCCAGCAGTCCTTTGGCTTATGCTCCTGGCCACAAGTCTGTCTCCCATCTTCACTCCCGCTGGACTCCAGGTGTCCCTTGAAGGTGGGGACTGCATTTTAACGACCTCACCCCCTCTTCGCTCTGTGCACGGCCAGCACAGCCTGGCCCCCAGTACGGTGACGGAAGCAGGTGAGAAGAGGTGAGTGCATAGAGGAAAAGCGAGCCCGGCTGTGCTCCAGCTCTGCCCTCCTAGGAGAACCTGGAGGGGTTCTGATGGCCTGACCGAGCGCTGCCCTGGGAGCCACAGGTTCTCCTGTACCTGCAGACAAGCCAGGGGGGCGATCTGACCCTCGGCTGGGCCAAAGCCTCCAACCCAATCACCAGGGCCAGGGCGGGGCTGGCGGCACTGGGGAGCAGCACCGTGGCCGCCTGAGCCACAGCATCTCTGTATTCCTGCCACTCAAGCCCGGCCAGCAGCCCCTGCAGTGCCAGCCTCGTTCTAGCACAAGTCACGCTGACACACTAGGACAGGAAAGTGTTCGCTGTACACTGATGGCCACGCAAAGTGCTCAGAGCTGGCTCAGCAAGCGCCAGTGTCTACTGTCTCCTTCTGGGTACTGGCTGTTTCACAAAACCAGAGTGAAGCCTGTCCCAGGCCCTGACAGCAACGGACAAGGTGACCCCTCTGGGACATTTGGGCTGAAACACAACATGGGGTGAAAAATTGCAAGGTTGCTCCAATCAATTTTGAAATCTATAAAGAAAGTCCTGAGACTACGTCATACCTATTTCTTGTTTAGAAAGTTCTAGAGTGGTCCCTGGCTAAAGCCAGCTAACCTGGACTGGTGTCCTGGTGCAGCAGGTTAAGCTGCCACCTGCGATGCCTGCATTCCATATGACTGCTGGTTCACGTCCCAGCTGCTCCACTTCTGATCCAGCTCCCTGCTAATGTGCTTGGGAAGGCAGTGGGGGATGGCCAAAGTGCTTGGGCCCCTGCACCCACATGGGAGACCCATAAAGCATCAGGCTCTGGGCTTTGGCCTGGCCCAACCGTGGTCATTGTGGTCATTTGGGGAGTGAACCAGGAGATGGAAGATCAGTTCCCACGGACTGTGTCCCCTTCCTGCAGAATGTGAGCCTGCCTTATGCACAACCCAGGGACAGCAGCAAGGATGGCCTTCAGGAAGCTTGTAGTGAGCACCACTGTGTGCTGAAATCAGACGCAAAAGTGGGAAACCACAGGAGCTCCGTTTATTTTTTTTAATACTTCGTTATTTGAAAGCAGAGAGTTACTACTTACTTCCTTACGTATTACTTTTTAAAATTTAATTAATTTATTGAATGTTCACTCCTCAAATGCTTGCAACAGCTGGGCCTGGGCTAGACTGAAGCCAGGAGCCCAAAACTCAATCTGGGTCTCCCACGTGGGTGGCAGGGCTCCAAGAACTTGAGCCACCAGCGCTGTCTCCCAGGACACACATTAGCAAGGCTGGAATCAGCAGTGGAGCTGGGACTCGGGACCCAGGCACTTGGTTATGGGATGTGGGTGTCCCGAGTAGGGTCACTGTGCACCGAAGGCTGCCCCTGGCTGTGGAACCCTACACTGCACTCTACGCATGCAGGCCCGGGGAACCACGCGCAAGGAGGCATTCGGGGTCCCCGTGCTGACGCCCATGTGGGATCTGCAGTGGGGACTGACACTGCTCTTAGCCAGTGACCGCTCCAGAACTTTTTCAGTAGTGTGATCTCTGGGCTACTCCACAGACTGCAGAGCAGAAGAGAGGATGGGTCCCTTCTCTCAGCCTGGGCCAGCATCTCTCTCTCCCACTGTGGGGACCCTAGTGGGGCGAGGCCAGGAGAGCCCCCACTGGGCCCAGGAGGCTCTCATCTCTGCAGCTCGACTGCCAGCCAAGCACACAGACACGATGAGACCCGTGCCGTGCCTGGAGGAAGTCCTGAACTTCGGAACACTGTGCTCTCATCAGACAGCCTTCTAACAGCCACTGAGAGCTTTCACAACCTGTGAAGTACAGGCTTAACAAACTGTTACATGTAGACTTTTTCAGAAAAGAAAAAAAAATGAAAAGCAAAAGAAACGAAAAGCAGTCATCTAATCCGAGAAGCCGGAGTCCTGAACATCAGTGTCACGTCCCCAGCACGGGGGAACGGAAACTGCCAGCTAAGGGGGCTGCCCTGCACCAGGCACCACGCCAACAACCTCATCCTCCTCCCTGCCCAGTTCTCCCATTTCACAGATGCGGCTGCTGAGCCCCTGAGGCTCCAACTTTCCCTCCTTGGACTCCCCCAAGCCTGAATCATCGCCCCATGCTCCACGGCCTTCTAAACACACAGCCAGCATGTGACTGCCACTGGGGGACGCGCTGCGGAAGAAAGAAACAAGAGCCCAGGGCCGGCGGAAGGCAAGGCTCTCCCTGAGACCCCCAAGGAGCAAGAGGGGTGGGTGGGCAGGCAGGGTCTCAAGGCCCCGCCTACAGAGGAGCCGCTCCCGCTCGACTCCGCCCCCAGGGGAACCAGTAAGGGGGGGGGGGCAGAGAATCCCAGACCCGTAAGAGTTAGGGAGGGAGAGCCAAGCCAAGCAGACCCCCCAGGCAGCACAGGGAGGGGCAGCCAGGGAGTGACTCCCCTCCCCGTTCCTATAGATGGTCGGGTCCTGGACAGTTTCCTAATAAGAGGGCGGGACCCCCTTGTTAGGGGTCCTCTGCAATCTCAGAGGGGCAGGAGCCACTGTGAGAAGGTTCCAGAGCAGGAATGGCCTGTCGGCCGTACCCTGTGGTCCTTCCCTCTGGGGTCTGAGGTCTGGGGCTGGCCACACGGGGCAGCTGTGGGGTTGAAACAAGACGCAGATGGGGTACTAGGGATAATTTCTTCCAGAGGTTTCAGGAACGCCCTTGCTGGTCACAGAGCCCTCTCTCTGGTCAGGCACGAGCCAGTACGTGAAGCAGCTGGCGGAGGCTTGGGCATGGAGTGGGTGCTGGGACCCGGCAGCCTGGCCTCTCATGGAGAACCACACCTACAGGCAGACTCACCGTCCTCTGGCACATGGGGAAACAGGCCTGCTGAAGCCCACAGAGATCCAAAGATACCCCAGTGGGGAGTGGCATGCAGAGGGGGACCGCTGTCCACTCATCCCGCACCTGAGCCATCTCAAGTCCACCCCAGCCAGGTGGGAGGTGGCTCAGGGCTCCAGACCCTGTGCCTTTCAAAAGCCTTAAACCACGTGCTAGGACCTCTCCCACCCCACAAGGAGGTCTGCCCCCGGAAGCCTCCCCAGGTACCCTGGGGTCCCTCTACCAGGTCTGCTGCCCTGAGCTGTGCGTGGGGCCAGCTGCCACAGGCAGGGACGGGAGCCAGCCATGCCCTTCCTTTCGGCCCTGGGAGCTGAGAGGCGGGGGGAAACTGAATGCCAGACAGCGGGGGAGGGGGGAAGGCAGGTGCGCAGGTAGCCGGGGAGCCGCAGGGCAGGCCCAGGGCTGCTTACCTGTGGGCCAGGCCCCATGGGCCCCATGCCTCGGGGAGGGTTCATTCTCTGCATCGATCCTCCCATGTTGGGGTGGCCTGAGAGAGAGGGAGAGAGAAAGAGCGAGGTGAGTTGTGGGTTGCCAAGGGGAGAGAGAGGCCCTCCTGACAGCCAGTGTGCCCCAGCCTCTCTACCTTGTTGCCGCGTGGGATCCATGGAATTGGGCAGCAGCGGCTGTGTCCCAGGGACTCCTCCTGGAGGCTGAAAGAGACGGAGACACAAGCTCGGGAGCTGCTCCCCAGGTGCTCTGCCTGTCCCGCCACGTCCCCATCTGCCGCCTGCGGCCACGCAGGGCCCTCCCCTGGCCATTCCTGCTGCCTGCGGCTGCGGGGGACCGTGACAGCCAGCCCAAGTTGGCAGCCCCTAAAACTGGAGTGTGGGTGGGGCTGGAGCTTTGGTTGCAACAGAGGAACCCCACTCTGTCCTGCTGTCCCCATGGGTCTGCATGCCTTGAAATGAGGCCGTCAGGAGCTACCTGAACCCCATCTTTCTTTGCTGCAAGCAGATGTAACTCAGTGTACCTCCCCTGCGAACCATGGGGACTGAGACGGCTAGAATCCTGCCACAGGAGTCTCTTTCAACAGGGAACGGGGTGAGACAGGGAGGGGAGGGTGGCTCTGGGGCATAGCAGGTAGAGGCACTGTCTGTGGCTCCATCATCCCACATGGACGCTGGTTCACATCCGGCTGCTTCACTTCTGATCCAGCTCCCTGCTAATGGCCTGGGAAAAGCAGTGGAGAATGGCCCAAGTGCTTGGGCCCCTGCCACCCCCGTGGGAGACCCGGATGAAGCTCCCGGCTTCCACCTGGCCCAGTGCTGGCCATTGTGGCCATCTGTGGAGTGAATCAACGGATGGATCTCTGTCACCCCCCAGCCCCTGCCCCATAACTTTGACTTTCAATTAAAAAAACAAAAACAAAAACAAAAAACACCAGGACCAGGGAAACAGGTCCAGGGGCTGAAGGGCACAGCCAGGATGAGCACCCGGTGTCTGACCTCCTGTTGGCTTCCACCCCTGAAATAACCCCCTCAGGCCCTAGGGCCAAAGAGGGGCACCGAGCGGAGAGGTGAGGGGAGCCCTGCAGCACCAGTGTGTGGGTGAGGGGAGGCCTGGCACACTGCTGGCAAACCCATCCCAGATACTGCGCTCCAGACTGCAGTCACCGCCCCTCTGGGGAGAGGCCCCCGCTCTGGGGACTGAGAAGGAGCTCCTGCCCTGAGAGCAGAGGCCTTCCCCTGCGGGTGCCAGGGCACCTGGGAGGCCTCCACAGCGGGCCGACCAGGGCACTCCCTGCCTCTGCCCCACGGGTTTCAGAGGAGGCGGTGGGAAGCAAAGAGACAACAACCCCACTGTCCCCCTCCCCCCAGCTTCAGCACGGAGCGAGCGTGGGCAGCTGTGGGGGGGCCCAGGCACCCAGGCCTGCGCAGTGCCTCATGTCCAAGAACAACAGTTGGCGCTGGCTGTTTCGGTGTGCCTGGGGGTGCTTTGTCTCTCTCTCTCCCTGGGATTCGGCTGTTGCAACCTCACACTCGTTCACAGCCCTGCTTCCTCACCCCGAGTTCCCAGGCTCTGAGCCACCTTGCTGGTCTGGGTCTGCCCCCTGTGGGCTTGGGGTTACAGGGACTCTGGGGAGACCCAGGTAGGCCTGTCTGGACTGAGCGATCCCAGGATGCTGAGGTCATGGGGCCTTTTGATGCCTGTCTCACAGAGCAGGCTATGAGAACTAACAGAGAACCTAAAGGGAAATCTGTAGAAATCTGCCCCTGCTCCTGCAGTGCCTTGGGGCTCTACAGCAAAGCTGGGGAGTAGCTCCCCTCCCCCTGCCCCAGGGTGGCCTTGGGTGCGGACAGGAAACTCTGCCCACAGGTACCTGATTTGGCATTCCTGGGGCCTGCCCTGGTCTGAGGTCCCAGCACATGGTCTAAGGCACTTCAAAGGCACAGGGTCTGGCACCCTGAGCCACAGTGCAGGCCCCAGGAGTCCCAAATCACACAAAGGAGGGGCTCTCGATGAGAAAGCGGAAGCCCTCACACACAGGGACGGAGAAAAACCACGGCTTGTGTATGGGCATGAAAACCCGTGTGGCACCTGCGCCCTGGCCTGCGGGGCAAAGATGCTGCGGGGCTGTCGCAGGGCTCCTGGAAGTGGGCCAGCTCGCTCCACGGCACTGCGGGACAAAGCGGAGGAAGCGTCTGTCCAGGAAACGGACACAGCCCAGCCGTGCCTGCAGGCTCACTCACCTGCCTGGCCAGGACAACCGGCAGGCGGGACTTGCATGGAAGGCGACCTGGCGATGCAGCCAGCTCGCTGCAAACCTGCACCCCCTGGATGCAGCCCCACACTCCGCACCAGGGAGGCCGGCCTGGCAAAACCCAGAGGCAGGGTCGGTGGCCCTCAGCGTAATGTGCATTCTCACTGCCCTCATGTGGGGGGCCCACTTATAACGGGCAAGTCCCCCGCGCCTCTCCTCCTCCACCTACCGCCGGAGAGAGCTGAGCTGATGATGCACACAGCCCCCGACTGAGGCGCCCTCCGAGAAAGCCCAGGACCATGTGCGACAGGAGCACATCCCTCTTTGGGGGTCCCAAGAAGCTGGAAACTCAGAGTTAACTTACAGAGGCGGCAGGGAGATGGGGGGGAGGGGGAACTGGTTTGTGCTGCCTGGTAGAGATGACGGCTTTACCCTCCTACCCTCCACTCACTGGCCCGCGTCTACTCATGCTGAATTGTGAAAGAGAAACACACACACTCCCTTCGCTATGTCCCTTAACTCCAGCAGGGTGCCGCGTGAGGACAGGTCAGAGTATCTGCTCTCCCTGGATGGGCTCTGAAAGGCAAGGGAGCAGGGTGGGGTGGAGGACAGGGCCAGGAGCTGGAGACGGCTCTGAGCCCAGCTCCTCCACTCTGACCTTCTGTCTCCTCATCTGCGATGGCCCAAGGGTCCCTTTTTGCTCAAAGAGCTGGATCTCTAATTCCTCGTCTAAATCTGTCTCCTTCGCATCAGACAAAAACAGGAAACAAAGGAGCCGGACACCTGACAGGCAACCTGACGTTGGAATCGGAGGCCCTGGGTGCCAGTGTCTGTCCACATCCCTGTAGCATCTCGCTCAGGGAAAGAAGCCCACCAGATAACAGCGGTCTGGCTGGTGGCTAACCTCCAAGTTCAAACGCAGCAGGGGCTGGATGCCCTGGGGGCGGTGTCTAAGTTTTTGAAGGGCTTTGTCAAAAGTCACTGGAAGAATTGTTAAAGATATCTTAGCATGGGAAGAAATTTCCCTGACGTTTCTTTCAAGTTGTTTTTAAGTCCGTCTCATCTCCAAAATGGGTGCCTTTTCCACCGTCACCCCTCCTGCTCTGTCTGGCTGGGGGACTTCTCCAGGCCACATCCAACTACCAATCCCCAACTTAGGGCCCCAGGGCCCCAGGCTGCAAAGCCCTCCTGGTATGCAGACCCCTCTGCCAATCATACAGACAAATCCTTTCTTGTTTTGAGCTGGCCTGGAAAACCAGGCAGACATCACTCACAACCCCGCTGGCTTGGCTGCAACCTTGGCTCCTGCCCTAGGCTCTCCTGGGGGCCCCCTCTCCACCAACAGCAAGACTGTTTACCAGCCTTGGCAAGTCTCAAATGCTGCCGGGGTTGGGTAGGGGGGAGGAATGCACGTTGTCAACGAACTTCATTAAGGAAGACGATCCTCCTTCCAAGAGGGGGCTAGCAGGCAGGCTGAAGTCACAGGGCATCACCAAGGTGCGCCTAGGGGAGCCAAACCCTGCTGTACTACCCCGGCTGCTCCTGCTGCTGTCCTCTGAAACCCAGAAAGGGCTGCCCCAAGCCACTGGGACAGGCAGGTGAATGGCGGCATGACGGGCACACAGCGGACACGGACTCCTTCCTGGGGATCCGCGGGAAAGCGACCCTGCATGTTACAACCTGACCCTCCAGCCCTCAATGCTCTCCCCCAGTTCTGCTTTGAGCCCCAGTCCACCTGGGGCATCGGATGGCTGAGCGAGGGGGGAGAGAACATGAAAAGGTACAGTACCTGGTTTCCCATTCTGATCGGGGGCCTGGGGCCGCCTGCGTATCGCGGTGACATAAAAGGCTGCAATTACAGGGAATTAGTTCAATGACAGCCTGCGCCAGTTTGCAGTGACCAACACAAATGCTCTCCACTCCACAAAGTCCAGTCTTGTGGCAACTACGGATCTTTTAAGCTCTCTTTCTCTTGGTGGCCTCGTCCCTCCAGGCAAAACTTCCTCTGGGCAGAGGGGATGACAGATCCACACGGCACACGGGGCCCCCGAACTCCACGTGTGTTCATGGAGAGCTACTCCGGGCAGTGGGGCAGCGGCCGAGACTTTGCACAGGATGCGGAAGGACAGTTAACCCTGCTCAGGGCCCAGGAGGAGAGCTCTGCTCTCAGCAAGGGCAGTGAGAAGGTACGAGAAAGGACTCACGCCTCCCCTCTGCAGGGGCTGCACACAGAGCTGGACATACACGCGCGTGTGCACACACACAGAACCCCCCCGGCGGGGCGGCGGGGTGGGGAGGGCAGTGAGGACTTCAGGAGGGACACACGATGGAAGACAGGGAGGGGAGAGCAGGCGCCCTAGCCTAATGCAGAACAGGCGAGGGTGCTTTCTCAGCAGCGAGGGTGCACAGAGAGGCTCGGGATGCAGCTTCGCTTACAAACGAATGGTTAACCAAATGCAAAACCAAACCAAAAGTGAGAGAGGAAAAAACAAAAACGCAAAGGCCGCTGACAAGGTCACAGGAATAGGTTTGTTTTTCTCTTTTCTTTTGGTTTTCTATCCCAGCTGGGTGTGAGGTCCAAAAATGAGGAGTATCTTTAGGTTAAAAAAAAAAAAAGGTGTTTTTTTTTTTTTTTTTGGTCTGTTTTGTTTTTTAATCAGCTCGTCCGTAGAGACCGCAAGGCAATGGCTAGAGCACATTGTCAGTTTTGTTTTTCCTCTGCCGGCTCTGCGTCCTCCGCGCCCCGCGCCCCCCGGCCGGCCGGCGGCGGGCGAGCCACAGTGCGTTTACCTGACTGTGGGCTCCCATCATGCTGCTAGCATTGTGAGGTGGAGGCTGTGCGTGCGGCGAGGGCTGTGACCCCGGAGGACCCTGTGAGGCCAGACAGTAGAGGCAGGTTATAGATCACGGCACATGGAGAAGCGCAGGAGAAGCTCAAAAGAACAAAACTTAAACCAAAACGGAGGTGGCGGCGGGCGTGCGGGGGGGGGGGGCCTCTGGCTGGGGGGGAGGTGGTGGAGCTGCTGCTGGGGAGGGAGAAGCTGGTCAGTGCGGTCGCAGGGACTCGGCAGGACAAAGTACAAGGAGGCACGCTGGTCACAGGCCCCGGACACAGCGCCTGCGCAGGAGCGGAGTTTGCCACGTCAAATACGCTGGTGGAGACAGGCTCGGGGAGGGCGCAATGGCGCGCAGAACAGGGCCCTTAGATGCTCCCCAGACCCATGGGCAGAGCACTTGTGTGCGGCTCGCAGGGGTGGGAGGGGGCCTGCCCTCGAGGAGCTCACAGTCTAGGGGCCGGAGACAGGGTTGCAGGTAACGGGGGACAGTGATGCACGAATAAGAACAGAGGCGGCAGGAGCAGGTGCAGCCACAGATGGAACGAATGGGGCAGGAGAGGCGCGGACAGTCCTGGAGTGGCCGCCCGGCGCAGCTGGTGTGCAGGGGCTCTGCGGCAGGTAGGGTTTCTCCTTCCCGTTTTTACTGATGAGGAAACCGAGCCTCAAGCGATGCAGGGACCTGGCCACGGATACGACTGGCTAAGTGGCTGAGCCAGATGAGATGCTGGACGGCGGCAAGGCCCACCCCCATTCCTGCAGCCCACAGCCAAGCACAGGCTTGGCAGACAGGCCTAGGGACCACCCACAACTGCTGAGTGGGAAGGTGGGCATCGAGGCCAGGCTCTCCACACCAGTCAGCAGAGAGCCACCTGAGTCCCAAGCCCTGGCCCGTTCTGACTTGATAGCCCTGGAAAGAGATGGGCTGGGGGCCGATGCTATGGCGTAGCTGGCAAAGCCGCTGCCTACAGCAGCAGCATCCCATTACAGGTGCCAGTTCAAGTCCCAGCTGCTCCACTTCCGATTCAGCTCTCTGCTATGGCCTGGGAAAGCACTAGAAGATGGCCCAAGTCCTTGGGTCCCTGTACCCATGTGGGAGACCCGGAAGAAGCTCCTGGCTCCTGCCTTCAGATCAGTCCAGCTCCAGCTGCTGTGGCTACTTGGGGAGTGAACCAGTGGATGGAAGACTCCTCTCTCTCTCTCTCTCTGCGTTTCAAATATACAAATAAATTTTTTTTAAAAAGATATGGCAGATGAAGTCCCTTAAACCAAAGGGCTATGGGCTGGAACCATCAGAGAATGCTGACATCAATTCAGTGGGCTGCAATCATTACTTACGGGGGGAGGGGAGTGTGTGGCATTGTAGTGTAGCAGGTAAAGTCACCGCCTGCAATGCCAGCATCCCACATGGGTACTGGTTTGAATCCTGGCTCTTCCATTTCCAACCCAGCTCCCTGCTAATATGCCTGGGGAAACAGCAGAAGATGGTCCAGGTCACTGGGCCCCTGTACCCACATAGGAGACCTGGAAGAAGCTCCTGGCTTCAGACTGGTCCAGGTCCAGCTCCAGCTGTTGAGGCCATCTGGGGAGTGAATCAGCAGATGGAAGATCTCTGTCTTTTCCTCTAACTCTGACTTTCAAATAAATAAATAAATCTTTTAAAAAAGGAACCTAACACAATTTAAAAAAGAATTAGAGGTTTATGCGTTTGAAGCAGATTATACTTCATGTCTAAATAACACACACTCGGAGCCAGCACTGTGGCGTAGTGGGGTAAGCAGCTGCCTACAATGCTGGCATCCCACACAGGCACTAGTTTGTGCCCTGGCTGCTCTACTTCCGATCCAGCTCTCTGCTATGGCCTGGGAAAGCAGCGAAGATGGCCCAAGTCCTTGGGCCCCTGCGCCCATGTGGGAGTCCCAGAAAAAGCTTCTGACTCCTGGCTTCAGCCTGGCCTGGCCTAGCTCTACTTGTTCAGTCATTTGGGTAGAGAATTAGTGGATGGAAGATCTCTTTCAAAAAATTAAGTAAATCTTTAAAAACAAATAATATATACACACACAGGTCTTCAAAAAGCTTGTGGAAAATGCATTTTGGGGACACTATGAACTATGCACAGATTTCAACTTTTTGAATCAAAATAAGCTTATCTTCTAATTCCATTTTCCCACAAACTCTCTGAGGTGCCCACATGGGCGGGAGCGTAGACTGATCTCAGTGCCCAAAGGGTTTTGTAAGGGTTGGAACTAGACAGTATGGAAACGACTCCTGGCCAGTGCAGGCCAGCAGAGCTGGACAAGAGCTGGGGGAGGAGCCACGCCCCAATCCACCCTTCCCCATTCCCCACTCTGTTGTCCTTGGAAGCCGCTTTTGAGAAAAATTCAAAACACGCACGGGGGATGAGTGTGGTTAAATTAGAAAGAAAAGAGAGCAGAACAAGCGTTTGGCCTAGCGGTTCCCGTGCCAGGTAATTCACCGGCATCCTACACTGCAGGACCTGGCCTTGACACCTGGCTCTGGCTCCTGACTCCAGCGTCCCTGGGAGGCGATGGTGACGGCTCAAATAACGGGGGTCCTGTCGCCCATGTGGGAGACATGGATTGAGTTCCCAGCTGCCAGCTTCAGTTCTCCGCCCAGGGCCACTGAGGGCATTTGGGGAGTGAACCAGTGGATGGGGAGCACTCTGCGTCTCGGTCTCACCACCCCTCAGAAGAAAAAGGGAGGGAGACACACGCAGAGGATCTTCCTCCTCCGTGGTCCCCCCTCAGCCAGGCCACCTGCTCACTTAGGAGACAGCCCAGAACTGGGGAGGGAGTGAAGGGAGGACACGAGCTGGGGCACACGGAGACCAGAGGAGAGGTGTGCAGGACCAGACGCTGAGGGCTGTACAGGAACCTGAGGGCGCCGCTGGGGACAGGCCTGGGAATTTCTTGGCTAAGCGAGGGGCTGCTCACTTCCGGCAAGCTCTGAGGAGCAGATGTTCCCCTACCTGCCATGCTACTAATTTCAACAAGTGTGTGTCTTTCTAGCGGCTGCCAGCAACGGCATGGTTTGTTACCATGAGCAATTTTCTTAATTAACAGACATTAATTAGCCATTTAGCAATTTTGCAAGCATTTGTTTAGCGGCTTTCCTAAACATGAATACCACTGTGATAATGGCACTGATTAGAGGGTCCCCTAATTAACAGCACAGGGAAGGGAAACTGAAATCACATAAATTAAAAAGGGAGGGGAAGTTAATGAAGGCGGGACATATTTGCACCTGCAAGTCTTTTGTGCCACGGAACTTGGGTGTAATGTAAACAAAACAAGATAATTCAAAGCCAACCCCCAAAAAGAGAAAAAAGGGAGAGGGGGAGGAGGAGGGTTCAAGGGTGAGGTCCAGCTGCCAAGAGGGGGCAACAGGCCCGGTGCAAGCGCCGCGGCGGGAAGGCAGCACCCCCTCCTGTGCAAGCCTCGCCTCGCCTCCCTCCCTCCCTGGGGCGGGCAGCCCGGCTCCAGGCAGGCCCCTCGCACCTGTGTGCCCCACTGGTCATGGAGGGTCGCGGCAGCCGGCTTGCTGATTTTGAGAGAAAACACGGGTACAGGACCCCGAGTGTCCAGCAGAGCCTCCAGTGACGGCAGAACGCGCCTGACTGCTGGGCCTGGGCCTCCCGCACAAGTTCCCTGTCCGACTGCGGTAATCAGACCACGAACAGGTGGACGCGGCACACCTTCGCTCTCAATGCAGCTGCTTCAAGACCAAGGCCAAGAAGCAGGAAGACGGAGCCCCAGCCCAGCCCTGGCAACTCCTCCGGCTACTCCGTGTGCAGGGAGCAATCAGGGGAGGGAGCAGAGGCCAGGAGCCTCCTCTCTGACTCGATGCTGTGTTTTGGAACACTGAAGCCAAGGAGCAAATCCTCCCTGCTGCCCCCCAAGACAGGACACAGCTCAAGACAGCTCAGTACCTCCCCAGCTCACCTCCTGCCCCCCCAGCGATCCAATCCAGGTTCTGCCTGCACGCCCCTGGCCAGCCCCAGCACCACGAGAGCGGGACAAGCCTTTCCCCCAGGGAAGCAAACCCTGCCGCTGCCCAGTGGGTCCCCTACCTCCACACAAGGCTCCGTCTCGATGTCCCTGCTGTTTATGCCAAGTCTGGGGCACTCAGTACACTCTGGGTCGAGGGCATGTTTCTGCGACTAAACCCTACACAGCCTGGCCCCACTAAGGGGCAAAGAACAGAGGCCGTGGTTGCCCACAAAGAAAATGACAGCCGTGCGGCCCATCTCTGCCTGCAGGCACGGGCTCCACTCCGCTGCCTGCGTTCTCCGGATTTTGGAAAAGTGGTGTCTCCCTTCCCTGCCTGCATGCTCAAGAGGAGGCTCTGTGTAGGCTTGGGGGAAATGGAAGATGCACTTTCCATCCGTTACCCACATGGGCCAGAGGTGACCAAAAAGGATCTCAGCCAGGGAGCGCGCCCTTGGCAGGGAACAGGAGCCTGGCTCCTCCCTAAACTCTGCACCGATCCGGCGGGCAGGTGGAGGGAGGCAAGAGGCGGCGGCCTCAAAGGGGATGAGGACTGATCAACTGTCTCACACACAACTCAACTGAGGGGCCCTCCTGACTCCCAGCTGTTAAAAGAGGGAGCATCTAGAAGCCTGCTTGGCCAGGATGAGCCCACAAGCACAGCTTCCCCTAGACCACCCTCTCCCACCCACTCACCAAGGGCCACTTTCCGTGGCAGGTGCTACTTATTCACCCTCCTGTTCTGCCACAGGTCCCGGCAGAGCAGCTGGCCAGGCAGGGACATGTGGCGTCCTTACTAACAGTTCACGGAGAACCACGCCTGTCTGGCAGGTTTCTGTCATCTCCTCCTCCCACATCCTCCCTTCGCAGGGGAGGAGACAGTGGCCCAGGACAGAGGTTCGACTTGTCCAAGGCCACAGAGCATAAGTTGGCGGCTATGCCTCATCTCGCAGCTGCGGCCCAGACCTCTCCTCACGCCGCCGCGTCCCTGTCCACTTCTACATGAGACACAAAAGTTGGCTTTGCAAAG